TTTTTTAAAAAAAAAAAGTTTTCAAACTATACTTACACTGGTCAGTATTAATGTGTGGCCATTTTGCACGAAAAGTCCCAATCTAATAAAGGGTGTGTGTGTGTGTGTGTGTGTGTGTGTGTGTGTGTGTGTTTGTGTGTCCAGTATGCTTGATGTGCACACTCACAACATGAACTTTCTTGCAAGGATGACAGAAAAATATATTGATAAAATGTGCTGCATTGTTTTTGGCAAATATTCTATGCATATTTATTCTGAAATTAGAGTCAGTGACACTTACTATGAGGTAAGTGTATATAGTAATAATGAACAATCTTTTATCCAGTTGAAATTTGTCTTGAGTATTTGTTGTTAAGACGAGTGATGAAAAGCTGTTAAGAAAGGAGTGGAACATTCCTGCAACAGCACTTAAAATAGTCAATTATCAGGAAACAAGTCATAATAAGATTGCCATATTAATGTATACATTTGGTTTAATTGAAGAGATGATTTGTAAAAGTTTCCTCTTTTCAATCATTTTTTCAGGAGGGGTAAACAAATCTGAAAATGTTTAAAAGATGTTTAAAAGTAGCAGTAGTGTCTTGAAAAGCTTTCCAAAGGGAATATAACAAAAGGTTTGCTAAACTTCCAGGACAGAATATCCTGCAGAGCATCATTTTATGACATATTTTTACTATTATAAAAAAAGAGAGAAAACACCAATTTAGTGTAGCTACTACCCTTTTGAAGCCTAGAATGTTGCTAATGTCACACAAAAGTCTTGCCCCAAATTTGAAAATTAGCACCAATTCCTCTTCTATCTGTTGAAGTTTTAAATTAAAAATAATCACTTTGATTGCATATAGTATAGAATCCATGAATCTTTAATAAACTAGTAAATTGCATTTTTTAACATTCTAATGGATAAGAAAAAAGTAAGCATAGTTTGAGGAGGAAAAGGAAGAAATGAAGATACGAATGTGTACATTAGGAGACAATAAAGATATAAACACAGAACCCCCTCCCCCAAGTAGATAAGCAGCTCACAAAAAGTTGTGTTGTGATGAAGATTGTGTTTTATAAGGTTCTGCATGGTGGTTATTGCTAGGAAAATATTTTTCTATGTGATTCCCAGATTTAGCTTTATGTGTCACATTTTATAGCATTAGCCCTCTATACTGCTGTTTTCCTCTTCTCATCACTAGAAAGTGGTTGAAAGGCATAAATAGTGCATGAAACATTTTCTCAAGTTATTGGATTTTCCCACAATGAGCAATCACCACAATCGCCACAGTACCCAACCTGGATGATCCCGGCTGGTGTTGTAAGATAAGATTTCTCTCACCCTTCTTCTGTTGCACTTCATAAAGAATGTTTTCTTCATCTTTTTCTCATAGGATATATTCTGCAGGGTAAGGGTTAAGATTAGGGTTAGGATTCTGCAGAAAGGTAAGAGGGGCTCCGAGACAGACACATTTGAAGCAAATTATCAGCTTTATGACTACTAGAAACCATGGGACCATGTTGACTGTACAAAACAGCTTAATATGGTTCTTCAAAATTAGTTCTTTGAAACTTTGTCAGATACAAAGCACCTATTTGAAGCTTCATGCAGCCGTAATTGTGAGAATATTCTTTTTTACTTCTGTATCAAATCTGTACTCTATTTTGAACTCAAGTTGTTTTCTTATATTGAGACTGTTATTTATAGTTGCCAGATTTCATCAGTTTGTATTTTGGCAATAAAAGGCTCTTATAAAATAAGAATATTATTGTATTAGAGAAATTTAAAACATTTTTAATAGCTGGCTTATTCTTCAGAAGGTTATTTATGCTTAATATTTTCATTCAGCCGTTCACTATTTTCAGTCTAAATCAACTCACTGCAAGATGAAGGCCTCCTCAGTTGCTTTATGCCTTGCCCACTGCCACATAGTACACTTTTGAAATGAGTGACATAATTTGTCCAATGCTTCTTTAGGTGTTTTCTGGGTCTTTCAAAATTATACAGTTCTCCCATTCTTGACTAAAAGAGTTTAGTGATGAAGTTATTGAAAAATCCCTGAATCAGAAACACGCCACTGTCAAACTAAATATGGCCATGAAATGGTATTATAGTTTTGTTTTATCAATTGTCTAATTTGCAGCAGTAAACCATGAATTTAATTCATGAAAGATTTTAACCTGCTAATTTGTGCATAATTGAAATGCATAAAAAATTCATTTTGGCCCCCCAAAAATCACTTGGCAACAGTGCATTGGCTTAATATCTGTTTAAAACTAGTGTGGAATCTGCTGTTGCTTGGCTGCCTTCAAACACTGGAATAAAAACTGCAGTTTTGAGTTTTCCTAAAAATGTGCTTATAATTCCTCCCCTTTAAAACATTCCCACCCCACAGCACAAATAACAGCAACTAATTTGATCATTTTGTTTTCACTGAATAGTAATTGTTTCAATGAACACAGATCTTTTTTTACAATGTTGAAGATTAAGCAACTGTACTGAATAGTACACCATATAACACATAACAAATATCAACAGTGCTAAAATGCTCTGTGTTGTTCAATTGTAATTGTATCAGTGTGTGTGTGTTTGTGTGTGTGTGTTTGTGTGTGTGTGTGTGTGTGTGTTCTTTTACTTCTTACATATAGAAAAGATCCAACAAGTGAGCAAGCTGGCAGAAAATATGGGGGAAAATTTTAGTATTTCACTCACATTACCTCCTTGGACTTCCCACTTTCTCAAATAATAGATTTATGAACAGTAGATGTACATACAGGAACAGGATATTAAGAAAGTTATCTTTCTGCTTCTGCTGACAAAAATATCATTCAGAGAACAGAAGCTGATCTAGTTCTAAATTTTTAAAAAACTATTCAGTACTTTAATATGCTTAAAATTAGCTTATTACTATCAATGTAAGTTTAATAACATTTTAGATTTAAATTTAGATTTTTTTTTTCATCCTGCCTATATTATTTTCATTCAAAGAAGTGCAAACATAGCTAATACTCCTTTAGTTTCCTATGTTCCTCATAACAATAGGCCTCTAAAACAGCAGCCCCAAACCTTTTAAGCACCAGGAACCGGTTCCATGGAGGTTTCTCCGTGGACTGGAGGGGGGTGATTTTGTATGTTACTTGCATCCTGCAGTTGGGACTTTGCTAGTTTATGCAAATGTGTGGACCAGCTGCTGGCATGCCGCAGACCAGTGTTGGTCTTCTCTAAAGTAAATTGAACTGAGAGAGAGTGACTCACCCAAAGTCACTTAGCTGGCTTTCTTGACTACAGCAGGATTAGAACTCTGTTTTCTTGTTTCTAACTTAGTGCCTTAATTACTAAACTAAATTGCCTTTCTTTTTTGACATATGAATTGAATTAAATATGCCACAAATGAATACACTATGTTAATGTGTTTTATTTTTATACTGTAGTATATATATATGTTTTTTTTTTCCCTGTAGGAACCAACATATGTGCCAAAAACAATGGTGGGTGTCAACAGCTTTGTCTCTATCGGGGAAATGCACAGAGAACTTGTGCTTGTGCACATGGTTATTTAGCAGAGGATGGTGTGACATGCTTAAGACATGATGGCTACTTGCTTTATTCAGGAAGAACAATACTAAAAACTATACATCTTTCAGATGAGACAAACTTAAATTCACCAGTGCAACCTTATGAAAATCCAGAATATTTCAAAAATGTAATAGCATTGACTTTTGACTATAGACAGAAAGGAAGAGGAACTAATCGAATCTTCTTTAGTGATGCACATTTTGGAAATATACAACTTATTAAAGATAATTGGACGGGTAGAAAAATTATACTTGAAAGTAAGTATACCTTCTAACAATGAAGTGCATTTCTTTATATTTATTTACTTACTAACAATTGTGTATTGTCTAGTGGTTGCAACTCTGGGTGGTATATAAGTATTTATTTAAAAAGAAGATATAGGATTATTAAATTTATTCTATTTCATTGAACTAAATATTCTGGATAAAGAGATAAACATTTGTAAACTTGCTGGCAGATCATGAGTTCCCTATTCTTTTCCTTAAATGGAAACTTTTAGAAATGTTTTTGCTGAATAAGGGGAATTGGAGGGGAAGGGGGGGAATTCTGAAAACAAAATGTCTAGAACTGGGTAGACATTAGTCATCACAAAAGTTAACTGAAACATTATAGTAATAATAAATTGATTTATTGATAGATTTGCAATTCAAGATTTGCAACAGTCATAAGTTATTGGTATCATTAATTGTGGCTATCAGTTAGCTTAAAAATGCCATATATAGGCATCAGGACATATTTTGTACCCAGCATCTATAAGAATTCTTTTTTGAAAAAAATTAAAAATAAAATTATATGTTTAGTTATTTTGGTTAAGAATTTTCAGTTTTGAAAATCTGATGTTAAGAATGTTGAAATGCCATGTGAAACAATGGCCATCCCGTCCTTTGCATACTGTTTTTACACTTTATCTTATTTTTAATTCTCACTTTTATTTTTGTTTTCTTCCTCATGCAATCTGTCATTCAATACTATATCATCTTTCTTAACTGCCTCTTTTTATCTTTTCAAATACTTGGGGTAAAACTTGGTATTTCAGCTAAAATATTTGAAAGCTATGTGATACTATTTCCATCCTCAAGACAGAATTCTGCATGAAATAAATATAATCTTTATTGTCATTGTACTTAAATACAACAAAATTGGTTTTAACCTCACTGGTGCAAAATTATAGCAGAAACAAAAAAAGGAAGAAAAAGAAATACTGATATAACTAAGGCTAATACCTTAGTCTGCACTTCCTTATCTTACTAGAAAGCATCCTGTGAAAGTCTTTGTTGACTAAAACCATAATAAGGAGTGGAGGTAGATATCAGTTAGTCCTTTGAGTGGTAACAGGCATAACTTCAGGGGACAAAGAGGCCAAATGATAAAATTGTGTAACAATCATACAAATTCCATTATTCCATACTTCTATCAGACATTAGGATACAAATACCTGATCACAGCATTTACATGGTTACATTACAGTGTACATATTGTCATGTTGGCATAACTGCAATTTACTCTGAATGCCATTGGTGATGACTTTGGCATATCAAAGATGTCAATTTGAAATGTAGTTGGAATGAACAGCAAAGGGAATATTGAATGAAGCTAAAGAAAGCAAGAAAAATAATATGATTTGTGTCACTGAAACTAATAGAAAGTGAAAGGAGGTCACTTTTCCCCCCCTGAAAATGATCTGAATGTATGGCATATATAATAAATACATGCAGGGAAATGAAGTGCTGAGGTTAACTATGAATAAAATAAAAATAAAAATAATATTAGAAAGTATAAAATGGCATTGTCTAAATATTAGGCATGCAGGAAATATGAATCTATAGATTGATAGTAATTGCACTTTATGTTCTATTAATAGGGGATAAGGGAAAAATCAGACTCTTACTACATTAACAAATACATGATTAATAAATATTTATTAAATCTATTCCAAAATACGAAGAGTGAATGAATATAAAGCTTTATATATATATAAAAAGTTTTGATTTTACTGTCTACAATGAAATATTGAGATAATTAGTAAAAAAGTTGATGAGAAGTGGTAAAAAGGAATTGGAACCCACAATTGCTTGTTTAAGAGTCAAGGATCCAGGCTGCAATTCTCAGAGTCAAGACACTCATGTAAAATAGCTGAGTCAGGGGTTTTTTTTTTTTGGGGGGGGGGGGAACACCGGGGATTATATCAGTCAAAACCTGAAATGGGGATAATTAGGTTGCACAGATTAAGAGCCACTGGTATAATGTTCATAGGCAGGAAAAGTAGTAAAAGAGACAAAAGAATCATTAAAATTAAAAGAGGATAACAAATGAAGAATTACTTTGATGATTTTTTAAAACTGTTTTGGCAAAAATGTTAACAGTAGTGAATAAAATCAATACTAAAAATGAAGTCAATGAGAATTAAAATGAGATGTGGAAATGCTAGATTTATGTAGTATTTTAAAGATACGGGAGTTATATGGGAGTTATAGTGATATGTCAAATAATAGATTTGAAACATATACTATAGATTAGTTGTTTACGTTTGACAGGGAAAAATTGAATGAAATTTGTAGTGGCAAAAACTAGAGAAAGGAGATTGATAGAATATTTACTTGAGGGTAGGAAAATGAATTGATATTTTAGATGTATAAGTGCCACTAGGAAACTGGTGAGTAGTATGTGGTCCACTGTGAGGAAGAAATGTTTGTCAAAAGAAGCAACATGGTTGTTATAAATGTGGACTGTTGCCCAATTTGCTTTATGAAAATGAGAGTTGAGTGTGTCAGGACAAACAAGTAAAAAAAATAATGTTATGAGAATGTGCTACTTAAATATTTAATAAAACATCAAGAATAAGTGGCTATTGAATAAATATGGATATAAAATAAGTGACCAGTACATACAAATGCATGAAGAATGGTGAATGAGGAAAAGGATGGAGAGGATTGGGAAATAACTGATAGCATGTAATTGATAAGATCCTGAAAAAGAGAATAATGAGACATTGAAAGAACAAAAGTCAATACATGAATTGATATGTGGATGTGGTGGAAGCAAGGATGGCTTGTAAAGATAGAAATAAATGGTGAGGTTAATACATGGTGTTGAAGTAAATAGTTTTCCCTGCCCTCACCTGCACTCCTCTGTCCTCCCCTTCCCTCGATTTGTATAATATTACTTTATCCTAAAAAGAATTAGCATGATGAATATGCATGTGTGTAGAATCAATATAAGTAATTACATTTCTTCTAGGATTGAAAACCAATTTTTCATCTTTAATATATTTCTATTTTAAAAAAAAAATTGTGTACATTTAATTCTTTAAAAACTGATGCTATATTCAGAAAAATACAGAAGCTATCAACAAGCAATATTTCATTCCAAAGTGTAGCATCAATCTGGTAGTTTTGTCATGGAATTTGCACACTTCCTAAATCAGTCTGAATTTCAACAGAAAGTTTAAAAGTGGTGGCTAAGATGCTGAACTTGTCAATCAGAAAGATTAGCAGTTCAGTGGTTTGAGTCCCTAGCACTGCGTAACACAGTCAGCTCCCGTTACTTGTCCCAGCTTCTGCCAACCTAGAAGTTTGAAAGCATGTAAAAATGCAAGTAGAAAAATAGTGACCACTTTGGTGGGAAGGTAAAAGTGTTCCGTGCGCCTTCGGCATCTAGTCATGCCGGCCACATGACCATGGAGATGTATTCAGACAGTGCTGGCTCTTTGGCTTTGAAATGGACATGAGCATCACCCCATAGAGTCGCGAACAACTAGCACATATGTGTAAGGGGAATCTTTACCTTTAGGCTCAAAAAATGGGTAAAATCAAGAATCCATGTTTATTACTTATTATATATTTACATGCGATTAACATGAAAGTTAAAACAGTAGATTAGAGCTTATTGCTAACTTAAGCAACAAATGTCTAAGGTAATTTAAAAAAAACATGTTAGCACAAAATGTTGCATTTAATTTAAACGAGAAATATCTCTGCTCAGTCATAAAGAAGCTCAAGATTGCAGTTCTCGGCAACATTATGGAAGTGATTTGTCATTATCTTCTCCTGGGATATTTTTCAATTTTAAGTCCAACCTGTGTTTCTCTGTTGTTCTCCCACTTAGGCTTTAGCCTAAATTTGCTTATTTACTTATCTTCTAAGCTCAGACAAAGTCAATGAACTACTGTTACCTAGATGTCCTGGAGTGAATCATTGTAGTTGAATCATAAAGTCACAAAGTCACCTTAGGAAAGTCATTCTTGCTGAAATTCGGGGCAGAGTCATACTTTCTGCTTTCTCCAACACCACCAGGCCATTGCAAATCTGCCCGTCTGTTCAATATCTGCTTCTTACACCCTTTGTAAGATATGCCTGCTTACATTCCTTCTATCCAAATGACAGCCCTAAGTTCAATTGGGCAGATTACTTGGCAACCCCTTCCCCCCCACTTTTTAGCAGTTGCACCTGCCTTATGCAGCAATTTTAATTTGGATTGCCATGTTCCTACATTCTTGGCCAGCACCTGCCATTTTTTATTATCTTGATCCAGGAATGGTCTGTTAAATCATCCTTATCCCATGTTTCCTTGTCCATTGCTCCATTCAATATTTACATTCTTACTTTGTAATACCTTCCCCATAATATTGTAAACCTTCCCTCTCAGTTTTCTCCCCCCTCTCATCTTCAAGCCACTACCCAGTTTTATTGAATGGTACTTTGCTTCTCTTAAACTGCTTTCTTGATTTGTTTCTTGATACAATGATTCAATGGATCTATAGTGCTTATATAGGAGATTGTAAAGGCATTCATTTATACAGAGATCCAGAAAGTAAAGGCAAAGAGTGAAAATTAGTATGGACAAAACAGATGCTAACAAAAGAAAGTAAACAAAAGTTCACCTGCTAAGACAGATGCCAGCCTATGAGGATTGTCTTCTCTATGCCTATGGGAAAGACAAGAAGTAGGGTGTTAGATGGGGTGAATGGAAGAGGCAGACTCAGGCTAACAGTAACAACAGCTCTTTATCAGTGAACACTATGTACAATCCAGCAAAGACTGTCTGGCAGCAGCCCTTTTATAGGGAGCTGTCAGACGTCTTAACCAATCATCTTTGAGTATTTTCCTACTACATCAGAGGACCTTGGTGGAATCTATCATACTGTCTGTCAGTATGTAACACCCCTCCCCTCTTAGTTGGGCTGATCCGGCTGGTTATATACTTACGTAGGTAGGCAGGTTTTTTAGTCACTCTTTCTGACTGCAGTTCAGTTGGCATT